GGACAATGGCATCTCATGGTGCTCCTTCTCTGCCTGCAGTAACCTCAAGCAGTATCAGATCTGCCTCCTCCTTTCAGCAGCCACAGCTGACGCACTTGAACTCCTTATCAGCTGGTAATGCAGCATTAACGCCCCTTCTCTTTGCTGACCTCCCTCCCCTGACAAATTCTACTGCACTTCCTCAACCACTTCCATCTTTCACATCCCCATTTCCCAACTTATTTCAAACGGCTCCCTCCCAGCCACCGTCAGCTACCTCAACTCCGCTGCAGTCCCGGGATAATCCAGCTAGCAGCATGTCTGAAACCTGGGCTGCCACTCTGCCTGCAGCTCTTGGGGACCACCAACGGACATTGACAAGCCAGAGCACTGCTCAAAACTCCATGATCAGTCAGTTGCTTGACAGTTTCATGTCGGATCAACCATTTTCTGCTGGCACCTCCACATCCTCAATTTTCCCACCTGCTACAGCAATCAGCAGTGCAACACACACTGCGAGGTAAGTTAAGTTCTGATGTAGCTTTATTCCCTACTGAAATTGATGTTTGTTCATTTAAAATGCAGGGTCACCACGGGTGCATTGTGTGGAGAGCAGTTAAAAGTTAATACAGAAATTGTTTCCCCAATAAATTTCAACAGTTGTGTAGAAAACCACACAAAGTAAAAATGTAAGGCCAACAAGTAATAGAAAGGCAACAATTTCAATGGGAGGATGTTGTCAAAGTGTGCACTCTTCCATTACAAAATGAGAGATGAATTTACTATCTGAAGAGTCATCTGCCTTCTGCAGGTTTAAGCACCTTAGTGCTTCCATCTCTTTCTAAAGACCACACACACTAAGAGCATCTCAATGAATGAGATTTAACCACACTATTGTAACTAGAATCATACATGCTTCGATGGAGGTGGAGTGAAGTAGTTTTTTTAAATATAAAATACAGCCTTGCTCTCTAGCTTTATGATTTTCAGCCTCAGAAGTATTTTGACACAAGCAGTGTGCACCAAGGACCTTATATTTTCCTCCATATTACCTTAACAAGCTATGTATTCAGTCCACTCTCTCAGGCAAAAAGTAATAAGTCTTCAGGCTCCTTTTTCTGCCAGAATAGACACCTAAAATCATATTCTTCCTTGATTAGAGGTGGAAACCTTGACTTTGAGTCACTCCACCCAAGAAACAGGAGTCATGGCAGAGTGGCTTGATGCAGTAACTTGGGTGGATTTTTTCTCCTTCAGAATTGACCCTTGCTCCCAGGTTGACTGGGCCTAAAATGTTGACCTCATCACCCACTGAATGCCAGTTTGCTGCATAAATACTTGAATTTAAGAGTCTGTTACTTTACCCCACGAAGCAGACAGTGGTGGAGATCTGTTGCAGCCATGCTTTATTGAAGATGGCACCTGGATCTTATCTGATCTTGTAAATATAGCAGATAAGTAATTGAGTTATTAATATTTGTTATATATGAAGATGTAGTTACAGAGGGAACCAGTACTCTTTGGTTCTTCTTGACTTTAACAGAAATAAAGGTTTGCTACATAAATGGGGACCAGGTGCAGTCCTGAGAAGTAAGGGCGGCCGGCGTGATGCTGACCACATCACTCACCGAGTGCTGATTCGTCTATAAAATATAGGTCTGGCTGTTTATGCCAAATACGTCTGAAGGTGTGGAAAATGATCTCTTAACAGAAAACCACGTACATGAAAAAACAACAGTATAGACAGCATGAGTGTTTCCTGCAGTGTTCTTATAAGCTGCGACACTTCCACCAAATGCTTATGTCTGATGAATGTAGTCTTTCTTTGCACATACTTCTCCCAAACTGATTTGAGCTCAGTCAAAGACAGCACTTAACACATTTCTTCCAAACTGATCTAGCATCACCAGAAATGGTCATTTCTCCCAACTGTGATCCTTGTTCAGCTAAAGCACATATTCTGATAGCCACTAATTGTATTTCTCCCTACATCTTAGCCCATTGGAAGACCCAGCTATGATGACAAGGTTGTCCAGATCCCAGCCAGATAGTGGCTTTGCAGTTTCTGCAAGCATGACTTCGGGCAGACCCAGTTCTTGCCTCTATGAGCTATGTAAGTGTGATGATCATATTGTTTGTTTAATAATTTATCCTCATCATCATAATCGTTCAGCAGGTCCTTTTGCAGAACATCACTTTTGTCACAGTCCTTTTGAAAGAAACTCTTGACTCTTGCCAGTTCTCCCAACTCCTGCAGTCTCTGACTCTTGCCAGTTCTCCCACCTCCAGCAGTCTCTGACTCTTGCCAGTTCTCCCACCTCCTGCAGTCTCTGACTCTTCCCAGTTCTCCCACCTCCTGCAGTCTCTGACTCTTGCCAGTTCTCCCACCTCCAGCAGTCTCTGACTCTTCCCAGTTCTCCCACCTCCTGCAGTCTCTGACTCTTCCCAGTTCTCCCACCTCCAGCAGTCTCTGACTCTTGCCAGTTCTCCCACCTCTGGTAGTCTCTGACTCTTGCCAGTTCTCCCACCTCCAGCAGTCTCTGACTGCCAGTTCTCCCACCTCCAGCAGTCTCTGACTCTTTGCCAGTTCTCCCACCTCCTGCAGTCTCTGACTGCCAGTTCTCCCACCTCCTGCAGTCTCTGACTCTTGCCAGTTCTCCCACCTCCTGCAGTTTTGTACCTATCTTGTGTCCATCTTCATGCCTGTTGGCCCCTACCTCTCTTTCCTGGTACCATGCCTTCCGCCGCTATATTCCAGTTTGGCTGTGGCACTTTTTATGGGCAAAATATTTCAGCTTCTGACAATATACTGTTTACTAGCAAATTCTTCTTGATGTTTATATCCTTTAGGATACCACTGTTTCTTGTCCTCTTTGTCCATAATATTCTGTTTATTATATTTCTTTAGCATTTCATCTGAAAAGCCCCATATTATCTTCTGTAACACTTTGCTAACCAAACTGCAACGATCTGCACATTTCTGGTCATATCCTTAGTGACCAGCTTTGCCGGTCTGCTATTTCATAATATTTAGATTGTAAACTGATGGCCTGACTGATAGTTTTTGAATTAAGCTTCATCTCGGTATTTTTATTGTTCTAAGATGGCTGCGCCTACGATCGATATCACTTTCAGCTGATACAAGCGTTTTCAGTAAAATTTTGATAATTTTCATTACCAGCACATATTCAGTTTTTTTGTCATGTCTGATGATGAAAACCAGGCCCGTGGTATTGATGATTCAGAATCTGCCAGCAAAGTAATGCTCTGGATTGCTGGTTAGGGAAGTGTTAAGGACTGCAGGGTAGTCCACGCCTCACATCTGTATGTTGCTGCAGTGAAGATGCATTTTGACAGAATTTTTAGAAATTCATAGTTACACATTTTTTAAATATTAATTCAGTAATAATTCCCCTGCCTATACTTATTGATATACAAAAAAAAATTGCCTGCTTTTTTTTTTCTTTCTAACTGGAAACTGGTAAAAAGCCATCTAGTAATATGACACAGATTTCACATAAATTATGTAAATCAAACACATTTAACTGATTATAAAGTTCCATGTGGCAAAGTGATACTCTCTCTTCCTTTGGGCCACATTAACCTGTGTGACTTTAAATTAAATTGTATATTTCATTATTTTGAAATTGGAAATATTTATTGATTTCATGATTTCACACATTAATTAAAAGTCTTACTGTATTCCCTAGTTCTTTTATCATGACATAGAATGTCATGCGTGTTTGTGATGTCTAGGGCAAACAATAACTTCATCTGTTTTATGTGTAGCACATAGAATGTCATGTGTGTTTGTGATATCTAGTGCAAACAGTTAATTAATTTTGTGTATATGTAGCACATAAAATGTCATGCATGTTTGTGATGTCTAGCGCAAACAATTACTTCATCTGTTGTATTTGTAGCACATAGAATGTCGTGTGTGTTTGTCATGTCTAGTGCAAATAGTTATGTCATCTGTTATATAATATAATGTTAAAATGTATGTGACATATCTAGCAGAAATGGTTATACATTTGTAATGCAGCTAATACACAGAATGATATGTATTTGCTATACATTTTAACGTAGTATGTTACATATGTTTGTGAGTCTTAACTTATAATGTTGTGCGCCCAGCAAACAGGATAAATACATACATGATAGAAGTTGAGTGTGCATGGGGAAAAAGAAGCCATGTGGCATAGTCTGTTCACTTGTCACTGTGACAGCCCAGTTTGTCCTCCACTTGTTCTGTTTCTCAGCTACATGCAGTTCTGGCATTGGCCTTGCAGAATACCTGGTTGCTGCTGCTTCTTCTTTACGTCCTCTTTTACAGCTGCGGGTGTCGAGGGAGATATAAGGTCCTGCTTTGTGCTCTTCTGGCTGCTTCGACCATAGACACATCGAAGTGCTGTAGTTACTCTGATATTATCTTCCCATCTTGTTCTGGGTCTACCTCTTGCTCTAGGTCCTTCTCCTCTTTTCTTATATACCTTGTATGGTATATCATCAGAAGGCATTCTCTCCAAGTGAGCAAACCATTTGATTTGCTGTCTTTGTATGTAATTTAGAATTGGCTCTCTGCCGACTTTATTTCATCTGACCTCATTCCTGATTTTATCTCCTCTGGTCACTTTTACAGTCTTTCTCAAACACCTTATTTCCATAGTTCCATGATTTCTCTAAAACCATAATGGTGATGAAGAACTCTTAACCCAGCATCTTTGTGTATAGGGGCATCCTTCCATTCCACACTGCTATAGCCACACTATAAAAACTAAAGAGCCTTTTTCACACCGGTGGCACATTAGGCATATTATAATATATAATAATAATTGTATAGACCAGTCACTCATTGATGGGTAATGTGGCCAGGCAATGTAGGTAATGTAGATACCAGGCTACTACGATTCAGTTGACTTTGGCATTTGATATTGAAAAAAATGTGTTCTTGTGTAGATAAATGTTTCTGGTGTGATAGTTAGTGATTGTCACAGTATATCACATGATTTCATCCGCAGCTAACCTGCCCGATAGTCAGTCGCAGCATGCAGCCAGCTCTTCACCACAATACAGTCTGGACCTGGCACAAGATCTCTCCAGCCTTTTCCCACAATCCAGTCAAATATTTAGGTATGATTTGTTTTTTTATGGGCTCCAGCGTAGTAGAAATAATATTTATTGTTATTTTGAACAGTAAATATATGGCTGGCTTTTGTACTTTCTTCTAGCGCAGTTTGTTCCTTGTGGCAGAGTAGTAACTCACCTGCACATTCGCCTAGGATTCAGTAAGGATTGCCATGTATCCAAATATATATGATCTTGTGGCCGACTTAACATTTCATACTTAGTTTTTGCTTTATAATGAAAAATGAGGTTAGAAACTTGTTTCAATGTATTCTTATTTCTGCAGTCGGGGAGTGACAGGAGCCACCCCTCCAATGAGCAATTTGACCTTTGTGACATCAGCCCCTGTCACATCTGCAGCCACTGGTAACATCACAGAAGCAGCTTCAAGTAGAAATGTTGGTGCTGCAGAAGTGTCATCCACCAGTTCTGAAGTCCATCCGCCGCATGGAGTTCCAAGTACAGGTAATGTCATTTTGACGCTCACAGCTGTCCCATCACATCCTAGTGCTTTCTTCTTCTTTTTCTTAGTGTTCGCCAGATGCAGTGGAAAGTTCTGGTTATTCGTCTGCTTCTGGACTTTGGCCTTGTTCCAGAATTTTGCTTGCAGCTGTATGCAGACTCTTGCTTCGTCGCCTCTCAGACATATGCATTCTGACTTCAGTGAAAATACATCGAATTAGTCACCACTTGATTGTTGGGCAGCACGGGCTCTGCGATAAGCAGAAATAAGAGTGATTCAGACTGCAGGATGTCAGTTCAGATATATTTCATGTAAACATCTGCAAATGGTGTTTTTACCAACATTAGCATTTACAGTTGGTCTCAGCTGATATCTTAGAGAGGAACAAGTCACTATTTCCTGACGCAGGGCTGACGGCAAGAGGTATCACTTGTCATGTTTTTTCATGGGGGACCTGACCACTTGTGATCCTCCACACTTCCTGTATCCTGTGGATACTGCAAACCATCTAGCATCTTTGTGGATAGACAAACCTCTTTCAACCCATGTTATAGCCATTTCTGTATAAGGAAACAAGACTTCTAGATGACATGATTTTTGCAAAATGACAAAACAACCCTACGTCTATTTTGATGTTTAATCAAATTAGGAGTGAACTCTGTCCGAGAACGGTCACCATTACACATGGCATGTCAGTCAGCATAATTACTTTACCTGTTTGGTTGTACAGAAGTTAGAAAGAAAAAAAAAAGACTCAAAATATGGATGTATGGTCTGCAAACCAAATTGCACAAAGTCACCCTGGTTGTCGATGAGTTGTTTTCCATGCTTCTCCTTCACAGAGGACTGCCATAGAAAGATATTGCACATATTTTTACTAAAATCTTTCTTGATTAAATCATTCTGTGCGCTTATGTAAAGTGTATTGAAAATAATAGGATGACCCTTGACTTTTGACGAGTAGTATAGTAAATGGTGGTCACATGTGAAATGCAGCAGTATTTATATTAGTTATTTTCCGGCCAGACTATGATGTTTTTGTCTGTAAATCAATTTTTTTTTTTTTTTTAAAATTCACTTCATCCACGTACTAGATCCTGAACTGCCGGAGGGAGTCGACCCATCATTCCTAGCAGCTCTGCCAGAACATATCAGACAGGAGGTGATATCTGAGCAGCTTCGTCTGCAGCGTATACGCCGGCGAGCCCAGGAGCAGGCACAACAGAATGCCTCAGCTAGTGAAGCTGGAGTAGAGGGAACCCGCACTATGGAGGTCAACCCTGAGTTCCTGGCTGCACTGCCACCTGCTATCCAAGAAGAGGTAAAACATGGACATAACAAACATGCTGTCTACTATAAAATCTCTCTCTCTCTCTCTCTCTCTCTCTCTCTCTCTCTCTCTCTCTCTCTCTCTCTCTCTCTCTCTCTCTCTCTCTCTCTCTCTCTCTCTCTCTCTCTCTCTCTCTCTCTCTCTCTCTCTCTCTCTCTCTCTCCCTCTCTCTCTCTCTCTCCCCCTGCCTCCCTCCCTGTCTCTCTCTCTCTCTCCCCCTGCCTCCCTCCCTGTCTCTCCCTCTCTCTCCCCCTGCCTCCCTTTCTATCCCCCCCCTCTCTCTCTCTCTCTCCCTCCCTTTCTATCCCCCCCCCTCTCTCTCCCTCTCTCTCTCCCTCTCTCTCTCTCCCTCCCTCACTCTCTCTCCCTCCCTCTCTCCCTTTCTATCCCCCCCCCCTCTCTCTTTTTATATATATAATATATATATAATATCACAGCAAAGGGCTCAGAGGAGGTCAGTCTTGCTCTAATCAGACCTGCTGTTCTTCGGCACAATGTAACACCTTCAGGATCACAAGTTCCAACATCACCACTTACTGAGCTACATTTTATTGAAAAACATGAAAAGCTAAGGTACAAACCAGACAGTAAAGTGTGTAAAGCTGAAGGTACAATAAGCCAGACTTGCATGTACTGCCTAGATTGTAGTACACCACTATGCTTGACACCAGTTCTAAGCTGTACAGTTGAGGATTATTATTGTTACTGACAAAGATTCTTGCAGAGGTCTTCAGCTACAGCTTTAACTCCAGTTAATAATGGAAGTAGCCCAGACTTCAACTGTAGATAGTTTTATAATTCTCATTCACAAATACTCACTGTAGCATGCCACATAAACACAGTACAATACACTCAAAAAACAAAACAAAAACATTCTTACTTTATTATAATTTATTTTAGCTTTAATTGTTGAAAATATTTGGTCAGTCGTTTAATAAGTGCTCTAATTAGGCTTGTTTTATTCATTGCAAACCATGTCACCAACATTTTATTGCATTAACAAACAAATTCACTAAAAATTAGAAAAATATGATGGTTTTAAAACATCTGAAATTTCTTTAAAAAGCCAAGCAAATTCAAGATGGCGGGCATAATCATGCGACATAATTGCATATCTTTTTTCATGTGTAGCAACCATTCATAATGGTGCTTTGAAGGTTTCTAAACCCTATACTCATTTTAAATTTTGTAATCAATTTAATTAGAAAACAGATCATTTGAAATAAGTCTGCAAACACCTTTGGTAATGGGAGACAGTAATGCACCGGAATGCTGGTCAGCAAAGGGTTAAAGCGCTGGATATGAAGGCAGCTTATCAGCATCCATTATGCAGTCCTCTTTATTAGGGTTTTATATTTTACAATTTTGTTTTCACAAACTTCCTGGGGATTAGATCTGTGGCTCTAGTATTTATTTCTAGTTTCTCGACCTCTCAACTACCTGCTAGTAGTTTTAGTTTCTTGTAAAAACAAAATTAAATTAAAAGACAGAGCTAAAGAAAATGAAATTATGTTACTTTTTTGTGTGTGTGTGGGTCCTGCAGGTCCTGGCACAGCAGAGAGCTGAACAAGCTAGGATGGCAGCTCAGCAGCAAAGTGTAGCTAATCCAGACATGCCGGTGGACCCAGCCACATTCTTCTCCACTCTGTCCACCTCTTTGAGGCAGCAGGTACTCTCTGACATGGATGATAGCATGTTAGCTGTTCTGCCTCCAGAACTGGCAGCAGAAGCTCAAGAACTGAGGAGAGACATGGAGGAGAGGCACCGGCGATTGCTGCAGGAACGATTGTTTGCTCAGGCTGGTGCTGCTTCAATATCAGCCATCCTGAGACATTCAGGTAAAGTCTTAATTTTTTGGGGTCAATTAATGAAATAAAACATCACAAAGTTCCGTATTGTTAGATAATAGTTGGACTTCTTGTTCTAAAAAAAAGTGCATTCATATTAGATTAGATATTATTGCATCAAGAATGAATAATCAATCATCTCTTGCTTCCTTCCTTGGCTGCCCTGTTTTGGGAGGAATATTGTAGATTTTTAAGGCCATGCTAACCTTTTGGAACTGAATTGTATACTATTTAATTTCTACATTCTGGTATGGTATCAGGTTTTATACTGAAGACCTGAGATCGATAAAATATTGTCAAACTGACTGCACTGAAGGGTTGCTATGGAAACCAAGATATTGGATTTCTTGCGATCGGTCTAAAACCACTATTTTTGTATGTACAGGCTCAATTTATTTTTTGTATATTTATACACTCATAGCTGTTTTAGGTGCATTTGCATTGCTTTCTTTTTAAAAAAAAATAAATTCAAGCTTTACACAATTACAGAGCGCTTTTGTGATATCACTTACCATTTCTTTTCTACTTAGTTAAAATAGATTATATTTGTAGTCAATTTTTCTGGCTTTCTGACTGCTGCACAAGAACTAAACTATATCTTAGTTTCACAAATGCTCTTATAGTTGCTTCAGTAATACAATGTTTAGTAAGTGTACAGTTTCATTTTAATCAGACAAGCAGTTTTGGAGAAAAGTATATCGCAAGAAGAAAAACTACATTATTTTCATGATTCAGCATGTTATTTTACACAGAAAAAACACTTTCTGATATTACATGATCACCAAAACAATCTCCCTGTTTATGCAGGACCTCCCTCTTGGGTATGTAGTTCATCTTGCCTCTTCAGTTTGCCATGTCTCTTAATTTGCTTGTCCTTCTTATACTTTCAGCTATTTCTAACTCTTTTCTGCATCCTAGATGCTCCTAAACTCTTCATGTGCAGGCTTGTAGAAAATCCCCAAAACTGAGCAGTATCTTGGGAAGCAGCAACACCAAAGTCAAACTCTCTTGCTGCAGTTACAACTGCAAACTGAACACAACACTTGCGTGAGGCAAACTTGTCTTTAGTACAGCGAGCCCAGATCAGGCTGTGTAAACACTCATTTGAATTCTGAGTTTTTCTCTGAAACACATTTTCTAAGCAGTTTAAGGTCAGACAGCCTTTTATAAATTGGCAAATGATATTTTCTGTAGTTTGTCACAGTTGAGCTATGTGTAACCTCTTGTCATGAGGACCCTTGGACTGAGAAAAAAAATATACCAAAGATTGCTCTCCATTTGGGCACATTTCATGGCGTGGAGTTTTGTCTGTTGAAAAACAGTGATACAGTGAAGCCATAACACTGTTCCTCATGGACTCTATACTTATGTTGTTGCTTATTGCTCTGTTGTAATAAATTGTCAGCCTACGGATGGCATTTTGTGTCAGCTGACCTTTACCACGTCCAGCTAGGGTCACCTTGCTTTCGGCAGTTAGCAATATTACAGAGTGCTGTTCCAAGGTGTTTACTGACATAGTTGATACATTTCTCTTTGTGTGTGTGAATGTCCTCCCCATAAGGTTTGATCTTGGTAAGCGCCACAAATGTTTTGGCATCACCATCAGAAAGTACTGATGTATAACGAAGCTTATGACAGGCCACAGACCGCTGCCACAGCACTCATGCAGCCTCCACCTCCATCATTCCAGCAGATCCTGTGAAATTATTCTGTGATGTTTGCAATGAGTTCAAATTGGGTCTAGTTGCATTAGTAATCATTTCTGCACCACTTTTGAATCATGAATACCAGCTGAAAATCTGTGCAGTAGATAAACAAATATCCCCAAAAACTTGTTGCATCAATTGAACTGTTTCATTGGCGCTTTTTCTGAATTTTAAACAGAATTTAATGTTATGCTTTTTGCTCCATGCTGATTTTGTAACGATGCACATTTAACTAGGTCAGTAAAATGGTGGCCTGTTTGTTATCTGCTTATCAGGCGGCGATGCAAAGTTGCCAGATCATAGATGAAGGTTGCCTCTTTGGATTCAATGCTTTGCTTCATAGATGGCACATTTGTTTTGGCCCTAATAAAATCAGTCTTATTACTTAATTGTCGGACCTTGTAGGATATGTGTTGTCCCCTCATCAGCCAAGTGCCCTCACAGCTGACAGTAATATCCAGCACATCATTGTCAAGTGGAGTGATGCTTGACTGTTGTGCATGAACTTGCTGAACATACTTGACGGTTTGAGAGAAAACCATGTCCTCCAGATCTTGTAGCTTTGAATATAATTTATTTGCTGTTTGATGAAGACCCTGCAGATTCATATGTTCACAACAATTATTGGGTGTTGTGGCACCCATTTCACAATCTAATGCAGAATAAACAGGCTGGTTGTTGATGGCAAAAGATCTATTCCCATCATTACTTCTTGAAGCTACGTACCTTCCACAAATTACTTCTTCACAGCAAGAGCAGTAAACTTCTGCACGCACAGCAAATGCTTGAGTTTTCTTGCTGTCAGTTTTCACAATAAGACCACTATTTTTATATAGTGGACAACACGACATTTTGATGATTTCATACATTTCGAACAAGTCAACTACTCCTCTGTTCTCCAGTTTTTTTGTGTGTGTCCATTATTATCAGCAGAAAAATACATACTGCTAGAGGAGGTCATATTTTCACACATATCTCTCTTAAACCGGCTTTGGGTTTTTTCTCCAGGAGAAAACTTCCACAACTTTGAGAAGAACTAGAATATGATAGTACAGAATCACTGACTGCTAAAATTCCAGCAAAGCTAGGAGCAAGAATGTTAGCTGGGTCGCAATCTGAATTCTCTGTAATGTTAACCACGCTTTGGTACACTTTTCTTTGCTTACAAGCATTTGCCAGTTGCAGACTTAGAGATTTCTTACCTTGATCGGCTAAGTGGAGTTTAAATTTATTGGAAAGAGTAATCTTTTCGATCAGCCGCCTTTGTGCTGTCGCTCCATAAACAATCGGGCACAGTGGCCATTTTTGAGAATCGGATACCCATGTGATCAGTTTCAGCTAGCGGGGATCGCCGGTAAAGACTGGTTGTCTTTTTACCCGTAAATGGAAGTTTTCTGGATTTTATACGGGTCAATGAATCGGCAGTGAATGGAAAACTTGAAGTACCACGATCACAAATTCCGCCAAATAGTGCAGGGGGACATAATTGCAGTTAGAGCGGTATATAATCTATACGCTTATCTCCTTGCGCAAATAGCATTGCCAAGGTGCGAAAAACAGCAATTTCGTTAACAAATTGCAATAAACAAATAGTTTAACAGCTAGGGTTAACTCAGTAAAAAATTTATATTGCATTAAAATAACATTTTAGACAAAAACAAACATGGAATCTAACAGAAGACATACTAAGGTGTGTAAAAACAAACTTATCCAAAAATTGCCGACCTGACCCAAATTCACTGTTTTGAACACCCACTCATAGCCTTAACTGTTATAAGCCAAAATTCTATTCAGTATGTACCTTGTTATGGGGGATTGTCATGTTCTGAAGATTTTAAATAAGAAATCAATCAAAAAGTTTAATATTGTCAGGAATTTGTACAACTTTTTGCCAATATGGTGAATTATGGCATAACATTAAATTAATAGCTGTCAGTTTTAGTTATTAAAATTTTTTGTTAACTATTCTGTTTATTCACTGTTGATGATAAATTCCTTCTCTTGTCTTCAGGTCTTGCTGGTCGACTCGGCACAAGATATGCTATCCGTGCTACCCAAAGGCAGCACAGTCAGTGGTCATTTGGTAGCAACCGCCTGAACCCAGGACCATCAGGGGCCACCAATCCTACAAAGGTCAAAGGCAGGTTCATGCTGGACCCTGAAGCTTTAACTTGTTTGTTGGTGCTCCTGTTTATAGACGAACCCAAGCTCAACACCACTCGGCTGCATCGTGTGTTGCGCAACCTTTGTTACCATGGTCCCACACGTACTTGGCTGATCAGAGCCTTGTTGTCCATTGTCCAGAGGGCTGGCGACAGCAACATAACCAGCACTATAGTCACTAACTTGTGTATGGAAGGTGTCAGCAGTCTCAACCAAAAGGATAAAGGCAAGGGGAAGAAATCAGCCGTCTCCGCTGCTTCAGGTCCTGCCTCATCAGCAATGTCTTATTCTTCTTCAGCAACCTCGTTTGATACTCCATTATCTATGCACTCAGACTCCAGCCTAGCCACGGCCCCTTCCATGCCTCAGTCATCTCATGAATTGCAGGGTGTTGGTGCTGGAGCAGCCATCCACGGTGGTGCTAGTGGCTACTGGTTGTCTATTAGTTTGGAAGCAGCACTTGGATGCAGGGCTAACGTCTTCCAAATCCATCGGACTTCTGGTAAAAAAGTGAGTAGTTCTTCAGCTGCCTCAGTCAGTGTCCACCCTCAGGCTGCACCTCTGGTATGTCGGCATGCTCTAGACACTCTAATATCCCTGGCTAAAGTTTTCCCGACATACTTCCTCCCAGCAGGAAAAGTGAAAGAACTGAACAAGTCTGATAGTGGTCACAAGGAGGAAGACATTTCAGAGGTGACCAGGAAGGCCACAGTCGGAGGGTCTGCAGTGACCACTGTGCACACGTCCGTCTTGCAGACTAGTCCTAAGTCACTTCGTGCCACAGAGGGAGCTCTCAATTGGGCAAACTCCACACGTCATGAAACCAAACCAGAGAACGACTTTTGGAATATCTTGGTCAGATTAGACAGCACTTCTGGAAAAAGTAAAGGCAAAGGTCAGTCACTATTTGCGTGCTCTCTCTCTCCTCTCTCTCTCTCTTCTCTCTCTCTCTTCTGTCTCTCTCTTCTCTCTCTCTCTCTCTCTCTCTCTCTCTCTCTCTCTCTCTCTCTCTCTCTCTCTCTCTCTCTCTCTCTCTCTCTCTCTCTCCTCTCTCTTTTTTCTTTCTTTCTGTGTGTGTGTGTGTGTGTGTGCGTGCGTGCGTGCGTGCGTGCGTGCGTGTGGTTTTTGTCTGTGCACTTATGCAAGCACACAGTCTCCTTGTCTCAAACTAACATTATTAGTGAACAGCAAATGTCACTATAGTTTTTGTGACTTTACACATCCACATTGAGTACTCAGCCTGAAGTTATATCTAATTGTGAGAAGATTGTCCACCCTACATAATCTGCTAAATGTAATGAGTATCTTATGGAGACATCGTGAGTTGTTTCATTACCATGATGTTTTGGAGACTCCTGCATGGAGGTAGATTTGATAACATTTGTTAAATATGTTGTGATAACAGCAAGTTAGTTCCCATTATTTGTGGATGATTCAGTGTTACAGCAGACTGAGCACAGACTGCTTATTGTATAAATGGAGTATTCATATGACAGTTATTATTATAGGACATAGTGAGATTATGCATCATCATGAAAATAGTAATTGAGTACGAAGTTAACTGAATGAAAGTGAAGTAAATGAACAAACTGTATTTCACAAAACAATAAAAACAAAAAAAAATGCTAACAAATACGGCCCTATTTGTCTAGATACATTTTTTGTAATGATCATGAAGGTCATGTTAAAATAGAAGTTACAAAATGTCCTGTTTTTAGTTGAGTTATTCCTGGCTAGACTTAAATACGAATGCTTCAGGAATATCTAGATGCGTTGATTCGGTTGATATCTTTAGTTATTAATTCTGTTCTGAAAGTCATTGGCAGCACCATGTGACTTACTATATGTGGGTAAATATGCTAGGTGTCTGGGCTTACAATGTTGTTCTGCAAAAGCATGCCTAGAGAGTTGGTGAATACAGTTTACGCACGCACACACGGGGCACGTGCGTGCACGCGCGCGCACACTCACTCTCACACACACTCACGCACTCGCCCACACGCTCTCATGCACTCACACGCTCTCGTGCACTCACGCTTGCTCACTCACTAGCATCTTTTAGGTGCATTCGCATTGCTATCTTTTTTAAAATAAATTCAGGCTTTGTCAGTCTGGACTCTTCTGCTTCATGCATTCTAAGTATCCATTTTTAGATGTCTCCATCTAATGTTTTTATATTGTTGTGTTGGCACCTTTCCAGGCAATAATGTTATGTTGTGCTGTATGGAGGCATGGAAATCACCTGGTGATAGCAAGTGCTTGCATTAAGAAAAGCCTTCCACAGTTAGAGCATGGGATTTCTCGACCATTGTTCCCATAGACACTCAGCTTTCAACCTGCTTGCAATCATTTTTTCCCTATATTCCTATTCCATTCCTGACTTTCCAGCTCGAAGAAAAACGGTCCATGGCATTTTGTTTCCATGGATCTACCTAAATTATTTATTAATATACTGTATTATTCATGCCCTGCTTGCACACATTCACATCTCTGTATCCTAGTAGAAGCCCCTGATATATTAGCCAATGATATATTGACTGTTTAAAAAGCCCTCTTTTCCCAGTTTGTGTGTGTTAAAGTAACCCTCAGGAAGCCACGAGTCTTTATCAGTTTTTACATTATTCGAATTTTTGTTAAGACATAAAAAAAAATAGATACAGCCACCAAGAAACAGGTTACAAACATCATATTCAAACCAACACTTTGCTACCAGTGCCAAACTTGAAATTGTCACTGACCTAATTTTAACACCTGTGAGATTGGATGCCTGAGCCACCAACTACCTTCAGAAAAGGAGTGAGAAGTTTTTCTATCAAACAGATTGTGGGAACAACATTCATTGAGAAGCAGCAGATCATATGGTTCGTTCATCTCTTTAGAATGCAACCCCAAAAACTACCATCATAAACACTACACCTAAAAAAGGTCTCATTGAAAGCAAGAGAGCACTCAGAGAGAATGTGGACTGATGACATTAAAGACATAGATACACACAAAATGACAATGCCAGTGCTATCAATGAGTCATTGTCATCATCATCAGTTTCCACTTCGGCCACAAAATGTGGGGAGGAACAGTTTTAAATCCATTCCTTGATGCGCAACGATGGCTATTGTCATTCCATGTCAGTGTAGAAGCTCTTTAATGTCATCACCTAATTAGCTCAAAGGGTGGCCTCTTGCTTTCACTTCAGATCTTTTCATGTGTAGTGTCTGGTTTATAGTTGCTTTAGCTGCATTCTCACTAATAACCAAACCATTTGATCTTCTGTTTCTCAGTAAATTTGTTGCTTAGTGTTGTTTCTACAGTCTGTCTATCATTTCTAACTTTGTCTTGGATGGTTAAGTTGGCATCTTTGTTCAGGCATCTCAGTCCATTGAGTGCTGGACCTCAAGTTCATGGTGCTAATTGGCAGAGGCTGATGGTGATGACATCCTGTGTTGTTACTCATTAATTTGAATGTGATGTAAACCTTGAAAGGTCGCCATGGCTAGCCTTTTTATTTTTTTAATCCTGACATACCTTCATTCTGCCACACAGTTTGTAGTTTGTTAAATTGATATGTAGTGTGGACTTTCACCTTAATGTGCAGTGGATATTTTGTGTAAGATTTCTTCCCTACAGATATGCAGTAGTATTTCTTCCTTACAGATTAACAATGTTTCATGCAGGCATTTCTCTATACAGGTATGGAATAGATATTTCATATAGGCTTCTCACTTGGCAAGTGTAGAATAGATATTTCTTGTAAGCTTCTCCCTTTACAGGTGCCAAATAGATAATTCATGTAGGCTTCTCCCTTTACAGGTACTGAATAGATAATTCATATAGGCTTCTCCCTTTACAGGTGTTGAATAGATAATTCATGTAGGCTTCTCCCTTTACAGGTGTAGAATAGATAATTAATGTAGGCTTCTCCCTTTACAGGTGTTGAATAGATAATTCATGTAGGCTTCTCTCTTTACAGGTGTTGAATAGATAATTCATGTAGGCTTCTCCCTTTACAGGTGTTGAATAGATAATTCATGTAGGCTTCTCCCTTTACAGGTGCTGAATAGATAATTCATGTAGGCTTTCTCCCTTTACAGGTATGGAATAGATATTTCATGTAGGCTGTCACTCATGCAGCGGTGCTATTGATGTTTCATGTTGACTTTCCCCTTGCAGGTGTGCAGCGTAACCATAGCATCTCAGCCTCAGAGCTGGAGACGCTGGCCACTGACTATGCCAGTAGTCCCCTTGGGCAGCTGATGTCCATGCTCAACCACCCAGTAGTCAGGAGGAGTCAGCTGTTGACTGACCGCTTGCTGCGTTTGCTGGGCTTGGTCTCAGTCAGCTTGCCTGACAGCAGCAGGCCATCATCCACATCTACAGCCACCACTACCACCACATCCACAGCTAGAACAGTGACAGCCACCACAACAGCACCAACAACAGCTTTGACTGTTGTGACTGCAACTACTGCTTCAACATCAGTAACACCATCAGCAGCAGCAGCAGCTACTTCAGCTGCACCTCCACAGACTCACAGTCAAGGTCAGTGTTTTTGTAAAATGTGACTATTCTTGTTTGACATAATTTTGAGAAACTTTTGTTTATACTTGTTGATACTAGGTTTCACTCATGGCGATTGTTACTGGCAACCAGTACTATCAGCAAACAAACCATGACCATTACAACATGTAGCCACATGCCATCATCACACAGCCCAGTGTCATTAGCACACAATCCAGTGCCATCAGCACACAACCTAGTGTGATGAATGCACAACCCATTGCCATCAGCACATAACCAGTGACCATTACCACATGCAGCCTGGTGCCATGAGTACACAACCCATGACTGTTCCTACTGGAAACTCACATAACGCAGTGCCATCAGTGCATAATTCAGCGCACAACCCAGTGCCATTAGTACATAATGCAGTGCCATCAGTACATAATTCAGCGCACAACCCAGTGCCATCAGCACACAACCAGTGCCATTAGTACACAACCAAGTGTCACAAGCACACAACTCAGTGCCATTAGTACACAACCTAGCATCATTAGTTAGTACACAACCTAATCCCATTAACCCACAACCCAGTGCCATCAGCACACAACCGAGTGCCACTAATACGCAACCTAGTGTCACTGGCACACAACCCAGTGCCATTAGTACACAACCTAATACCATTACCCCACAACCCAGTGTCATCAGTACACAACCCAGTGCCATTAGTACACATCCTAATACCATTAACCCACAACCCACTGGCATCAGTACACAACCAACTGATGGCCATTATTGTGTGCAACGCATTGCCAGTCATAAAGTTGTTGATCTTCTTATCTAGCCATGGATCACTGTGAATGTGTTTGTGATTTTTGAAGGCAGCTGCAGTTATTTTACCCTGGCATTTGGAGTGCTTTTCACTTCATGAGCTATATAAATACAGAGAGATTGGTGTGTGTGTGTGCGTGCATGCACGTGCATGCGTATATGTGTATGTGTGTGTGTACGAACACACATACGTATGCACACAAGCGCAAGTGAAGTAAAAAGTATCAGAAAACAGCAGATAGATTGCTTCAGAATGAATGTACAATTGATGTGAGGAAGAATAAGAAAGTATTTAATAAACATTGAGGCATAAACAGCAGAAGAGCATTTCCACTCAGATAACATTTTATTTATTTTTGTGATTATGAAGTTTGTGGAACATTTTTGTTGTGATCTTTTCATTTGTCTAATGATCTTTTTGTGTAATGTGTTTGTGATCCTGTTATAAATTTTCATGTTGCAGTCTTGCTGGTCATGATATTCTCACCCCCCCCCCCCCCCCCCTCCCCCCCCCCCCCCCCCCCCCCCACCACTCACCCCCTCCATATTGTTACCACAACTGTCTGTTCTGTAATCATAATTGCTGCTACATATTTTTGTTTTGTAACAGTTACTGATTTTCTACTTTCTAGTTGTGATTGTAACAGTGATTGTTTGTTTCTGTTGGCTACTGATGCAGATTTCTATATTATTGTAATAATGTTTTTTCTTGTTTTGATGATCGTTGTTCCAAACTGTTTCTGTGTAAAAATAATAATTGTGAATTATCTGCTGCTAGAGGATGAGCCAGATACACAGGACATCAAGAAGGAACCTGTGGCTGACACTGAGTCTGACGAGGATGAGGTTCCAGTCCTGTATGATCAGCTCAAACTGGCTGTCGAGGTACGCATCTACATTTTGATAGTTTATAGCAAACATCACTTTACAAAAGCAATAGCTGACAGTTCGCCATTTTTTATTTTTGGTATATTCTGATACATGCATAGGGGAGCACCTGAATGGTGTGGAAGAGTGAATAGATCTTGTGGTCTAGAGAGACTGATGCAACAGGAAGCGGTCAGGACATCTGGCCAACACTCAACACAGAAAGGCAAGATGGAATTATAATCAGACTGCAGTTGGCACCACTGGCATCAAAACTCACTGGCTAATGAAAATGAGGGCAGAGCGCTTATGGAAAGGCCCTGTTTGCTTGATGTTAGTTCTGGTTGTGCTACAGAGTATGTTTTAATTCATTATATTCTTTAATGTCCATTTTATTGCACCTTGTCTTTTTAAAGTTAATGCTGTTTAGCTTTGGTCATTATGTCAGTCGAGAGGAAATTTTCAAAGACCAATATATTTGGGTTCTTTATCTACAGTTAATAGTACAGCCACTAACAAGACATGTAAGTATATTTGATTATTCTCTCCCCAACCCCAGGTGTTGACATCCAAATCTTGCTCAGAGGAGGGCCTAGAAGACGCCACAAACCTGCTGCTACAACTGTCCTGGGCTAATGCAGCCACCCGTGCTGCTGTCTTGGAATTGCTTCTGTCTGGGGCTCGGCAGTTGGGCATGACAGTGTGTGGTCATATCACAAGGTAAGACTTCTTCTAACCATGTCCATCACAGATCTTACATTTTGTGGCAGCTGTGAAGGTTCTTAATTGTTATGTTGTGAAAGTAGGTTGTCATGTAGGATCAGACCCCATTAGGTTCATGGGAGTACAGGTGTTTCAGAAATCCCTGGGAGGTTGCTGTAGAGTTGAGTACGTGTTGCACTGATCTCAACTAGAGACCACCCACTCTACAGAGAGAAACTAAAGAAAAAAGGGCACAGCTCTGGAAAGGAAGTGATTCCTGTCACATTTAAACAAAAGCTTTCAGCCATTACTGATAATCATGTCACTGGCTGAATCATTATATTTGCCATCTTTTGCTGAAGCCAAATATTACATCAACATGTTATCCTATATCATTTATGATGCTGCTCTTCTTGTTATATTTAACAGCTTGTACATACATTTTAGCAGTTTTCTTGTTTTCATTTAGTGGCATTATTAACATAAGAGTTCTGTAGGTCAGGTGCTGTTGTTTTAATATTACTTTTTCTTATATATATATATATATATTATATATGTAAGCATCTTTTTGTTTACCAATTAGCCATTTGCAGTAACATTTGTGTAATATTGCGCACATTTGTTCATTGACAGCCTGTTGGAGCAACTAAGGGAGCTGAATGCACGGCTTGGTGTTGAGCAGATGGACGAGGAGAATGTTTCAGACACTGGTAGTGTAGCCTCAGCATCTGGTGCCTCAGGAGCACAAGCTGCCAAAGGCGTACTTCAAGACAGGTAGATGTCTGCATTCAGATATGGCAACCATTTCATTGAAATTTCTCTTGCTTGTGTGGTTCTGTCAGTTGTGTATATGCACATACGATTTGTTTACAGTTGCTTGCTATCTCTGTGTCTTTCTCTTTCTCATCATCCTTTTCTTTTTCTACCCCCAGACACTCTCATTCCACATTTCTCCCCTCTCCTCCTTACCATCTCCCCCTTTTCCCCTGTTTTTCTTTTGTATCACATCTTTCCCCCTTCTCCTGATCACTAGGTATTTACTTATTTGTCTTGCTGTCACTCTCTTCCATATTTGGTTTACTGCTTAACTTCTTCTTTTTTCCCCGCTTGAAATAAATTATCTATATCTGCAATGTTAACTGGTTTGTTCTGTGTGTTAGGTCTTATTTTTCTTTCATGAGACAAGTTTGTTTTCCTACATGTTTGTTTCTTGCTTGACCAATTTTAATGGAGTTTTACTTTTTTTTCAATTGTTTCTCTTGATTAACAAGCACTTTAGTAGTCATATTATATGTAGGCTGAAAAAAATTCCAACAATAGAGCTTCCGAATCCATATCATGGATTCCAGGAAACAACCTTTTACAATAGGCTAACAAAAAATAATTTAAAAAATGCTTTTAAGGCAGAGAAAAGAAATGTTCTAAGGACAGTCTCAAGATCTTCTCGGTACCATCTGGCATTAAAAAACACACCTTAGAAATCAGTGCACATGACAACCTTGTGCTCATATCTTCATTACGATTAGCAGCATGTGAGATGGTTAGAACTGCAGCAAAAATTTGTGTGGCTGATAAATCCAATCCTGGCAAAGGATATTCATGGACAGAATCAGCAAGGACTTAGAGCCATGTCAGTTGAAATAAGTAGTCACCATCATCACCTGTGATCAGCAAAATAACATATTTTGACTCAGAAATGCTGATCATGAGCAGTTTCAAAAGAAAACGCTTATGCAACTTGAAGAGCCCTATCTTTGTTAATGTGAGAATAAAACCAGTGACACTGTTTTGTTTCATGTTTCAATTCAGGTTTGCCAGTGGAGCCAGTATTGTGGTGTCAGCACCAACAAAGCTGAAGACTGGCAGAGAGCTGCAGCTACCTTCTATGTCCCAGCTGACCAGCAAGACATCAGGGCAGCATTTCTTCTTGAGGATACTCAAAGTCATTATTCAGCTGAGGGATGCTGCCAGAAATGCTAGCTCCAGCAGTAAAAAGCCAACAGGAAGAGGTAGTTTTACTTTCCAGTTTGTATGAGATTTGGCATTAGATCATATCACTGGGACTGGATGCAGTCTGTCTACAAGTTCACTTCCGTTCTGTTAGTAATGTTCAGTTCTTTTTTAAAAGAAAAGACAAAACCGCGAAATTAAAAATTTTTTTCACTGCCGGCCCTATATATATATATATATATATATAAACAATAACAGCGACAATAACAACCCAATTAAACAAGAAATTTCACTACTATTCACAGATATGAAAATGCAGTGCTGCTGTGTTAAATGAAATATGAAGAAATACATGTTTTCTTTCAAAGAGCAAAGATTACAAGGTATCATGCCCATATGCATAAAGATGTCATCGTCAATATGTTTACACGTTTACAGATGCATGGTCTGCTTTATCACATAATAGCCCATAGTTTTTGAGATCTTAATTTTTAAAAATATAATAAACATGCAGTGTATTTTATTAAATTAATTATATTTAATTTTTGAAAGGCACACCTTTATTTAGAGTGTGTTTCTTCTTCTCATCCTTTTAATATTTGTGAATTACTTCTTGTCCTTTTTAGGATGATTTTTTTCGCTATTTGAAGCCCTACTCTGGCTCTTGCCAGGGGCCGCAATATAGCCTGGCCATAAATATGGCATAATGGCTGAATGCGGTTTCTGGGACCTCTCCACGGTGATTCTCATCCACATGGTGGCACATTGTGTCATTGGGTGTTTATCGCTTGTGTGATGTCCTGGTGGGGTAGAAAGTCTGTCTGTCCTTCTCATCCTTCTTTCTTCTTTTTTCATGGAATCATAATCCTCCACCGTGTCCATTTAAAGACCTCCTATTCTTTGTTGTCTGCCATTTTGTTTGTGTTAATCACTGGTATGTCTTAATCTTTATAGAATATTTTTGTTTAATCCGAACTTGCAGTAACATTTATTATCTGTAATTTTTCACAATTCTGCATTCTTCATCGACGTTAGCACAAATACAGCTCTCATATTTAATATATATATTATGTCCACAGACTTTGTTAAATAATTTGTGCAATAATTCAACTGAGATGTTTGCAATGGCTTTAATATTAATTGCATATCTCTGGATACCAACAGAGTCAGCAGCTTAACCATCCTTTGGGCGCCTGATAGCGCCAATCTTATGTTTTTTTCTTTAAGTGGAATATTTTGTGTATGGTCTAAACATTTTCCTTGAAGTTTTAAGTTTAAATGTTTATTTCATCTTTATTATTGATGAACCTTAACCATTGTTGTGTTTCATGAGTCCATAAGGTTGGTTGCATATCCCTGCTATTCTCCTTGTGGTGTTATAAAAGTTTCTGATTTCCTTCACTGCTGCATCTCTCTCTCTCTCTCTCTCTCTCTCTCTCTCTCTCTCTCTCTCTCTCTCTCTCTCTCTCTCTCTCTCTCTCTCTCTCTCTCTCTCTCTCTCTCTCTCTCTCTCTCTCTCTTTCTTTCTGATTTCCTTCACTGCTGCACCTCCCTCTCTCTCTCTCTCTCTCTCTCTCTCTCTCTCTCTCCCTCCCTCCCTCCCTCCCTCCCTCCCTCTCTCTCTCTCTCTCTCTCTCTCTCTCTCTCTCTCTCTCTCTCTCTCTCTCTCTCTCTCTTTCTTTCTGATTTCCTCACTGCTGCACCTCCCTCTCTCTCTCTCTCTCTCTCTCTCTCTCTCTCTCCCTCCCTCCCTCCCTCCCTCCCTCCCTCCCTCCCTCCCTCCTCCCTCTCTCTCTCTCTCTCTCTCTCTCTCTCTCTCTCTCTCTCTCTCTCTCTCTCTCTCTCTCTCTCTCTCTCTCTCTCTGCTTTGTTGTCTTTTATTAGTCACTCTTCTTTGCTTTCAAACCTCATGACTAACTAAAATGTTAAAATACAGTGTACAGTGTGTTGACTGACTAAATAACCGCTATGTCATTGTATTACACTGTACAGTAATTAAAATGTTCCCCATATGAAGCACCGGTTTGTCTTTGTGCCTGTTCTACATAACCTCTTATGAATGATAAAAGTGAGCTGTTCGCTTCAAAACAATTGTACATTGAATAAATTAGCAGAAGGTCCATTGAACATAACACAATGTATTATAAAATTATGCGTGGTTAACCGTGCCGTGAGGAAAATCTATCGACTAAGTAACTACCATAAAATTTGTTGTATAATTTCAGGTCGTTCAGGCATAGAACAAATTCATGCAATTCTAAATTCAGTTGTCAGTGATGATGAATTCATGAATCTGTTTGGAGACAATCAAATATTGCAAGAGACTCCAGCTGGGTATACAGCAAACCCCGCCTTAACAGCACGCACTGCCTCCTCCACCCCAAGCAACATGTCATCTGGGCAAGACACAGCCGCCAGTAGTCAGTCTCTGTCCAGCTTCCACACCACCCAGTCTCAGACACAAGAGGAGAACGCCAGTGGCTCAGAGGTCCACATGGAAGTGGATGCACACTCTAGTCCTGCAGGTATGTGCTTTATTTGTCCATCCATCTGTTTATTTCTGCCAGTTGCCCTACTGCAGGCCAGATTCATCTTCTGGAGGCCTAGTAGCTCACAAATCTGTGACGATCCCTATTTTCAACTCTTTGGTCCCTGAGTAAACTTAGTTGAATCGCCCTGGTCTAGAATATTTGAAGGCTCAGCGCCTACACTCCTACATCAGTAAGTGCTGAAGAGCTACCTTTACCAACTGGTTCGAGTCAGTGACCCATTTAGTAAATTATTTTATTATATCGACATTCTTCACTTGACAAAAACCTAATTGTCTGACGTGTACTTGCTGAAATGATTCACTGTAGTGCTTTCACTGTTCTCATGATCACATGTGAAATGATTCACTGTAGTGCTTTCACTGTTCTCATGATCACATGTGAAATGATTCACTGTAGTGCTTTCACTGTTCTCATGATCACAAGTGAAATGATTCACTGTAGTGCTTTCACTGTTCTCATGATCACAAGTGAAAGGATTCACTGAAGTGCTTTCACTGTTCTCATGATCACAAGTGAAATGATTCACTGAAGTGCTTTCACTGTTCTCATGATCACAAGTGAAATGATTCACTGAAGTGCTTTCACTGTTCTCATGATCACAAGTGAAATGATTCACTGTAGTGCTTTCACTGTTCTCATGATCACAAGTGAAATGATTCATTGAAGTGCTTTCACTGTTCTCATGATCACAAGTGAAATGATTCACTGAAGTGCTTTCACTGTTCTCATGATCACAAGTGAAATGATTCACTGTAGTGCTTTCACTGTTCTCATGATCACAAGTGAAATGATTCACTGTAGTGCTTTCACTGTTCTCATGATCACAAGTGAAATGATTCACTGAAGTGCTTTCACTGTTCTCATGATCACAAGTTAAATGATTCACTGTAGTGCTTTCACTGTTCTCATGATCACAAGTGCATGTATGTGAGCATTTATAGCTCTGTCAGGTCACTTATTAGGACTCTTGTGGCTCCCTCAATCTCTTGCATCTCTTGCAAATGGAAATCAAAGCTGTGTTATACATGGCCAGTTGCTTTGTTAATGTAATATGTATCAAAGGGCTGAACATTCATATTGGAAGTCTTTTAAAACTTCTCTCCTTGTAAGAGGAAAGTCACTGAGGTCCTGGGGAATTTGGATGAAGAAGACAATGGTGGTGGAAAACAGACATGCTCATAGATGCAAAAAAATATGTTTAATGTGTAGATATGGAATTTGTATCATTGCGTTTACATTGTATATCTGCTTATAAAATATTTTTGAATAAATTCCACACAGCAGCAAATTGTAAGTAGCATATTCATACAAACTCTATGCTAGTAATTCCATACATAGACAGTATAATCAATTCACTTATATAAAATATTTGTTATTTAAGATGCCTAATGAAAGCTGCCAGTCTTAACTATTTGAGACTGACTGAGAGACGACACTATCAGACAGATTGTTAACAGCACATTTTGTCACATACACTGACAATTAAAAGATCAAATGGTTTGGGCATCCTGCTAGGGTGTAGAAACTAGTTAACATCACAGGAGTTGTGCCTAAACTAATATGATGGAAAGAGCAAGAGGACACTCAAGGAGATGCAGTGATGACATTAAACACATTGTATATTCACATGGAATATAGCCAGTTCCAGCCATCAACTTGGCCGCCAACTATTCCGCCCCATGGATGATGATTATGATGATGATGACAGCCCATAAAACAATTATGAGTAAATTCCACACCATGAATTTGTCTTGACTTCCAGTGACTTTCAAACAGTATGAATGTATAGTGAGTAGAATATTGGTTGTTTGATCTGTGTAGTGAAAATTGATATATTTTGTAACTGGTATGCTCTCTGATACCCAGCCGCTGCAGCAGAGAAAAGTGAGGACAAAGCATCTGGTGCCTCTTCCTCTCTAGCCCGAGCTGCTGGCTTGCCAACTCTGCCTCGCCTGAGTGAGCAGCTTGGACTCTATGAGCTGTGGGTTGCACTTGGTGATTGCCTGGCAGAGCTGGCACGAACCCCGGACCATCATGCTGTGCTGATTCTGCAACCTGCCGTGGAAGCTTTCTTTATTGTACATGCAGGTAAACCATGAACCACAGTTTAAACTAACACTTTTTCATGTCTTTTTATACATTTCTATGCATAGTTACTGTGAACACCCAGTTTTGGAGCAAACATATCTTTCTCCTTTCCTAGATAATATCAAGGAAGCACTGGTAGAACAATGGCAGGGTTCCATTTTGGGTGAAACAAGAATAAACTCACAATCCCCTAACAATCATGCTGTAAAAGGCAGCTAATTAGGTATGTTTCCTTTGAAGTGGGAGTGCATCTACATGAGAGGCTAAGCACCAAAAGTCTGCATAAGGGTGAGCCAGGTCTGTCAAATCGTCTGCACGCAAAACTCAGGCTTTAGAACAAGATTAAAGTTCAGAAATGGACAAAAAAGCAGATCTTTCCATCAGAGTTTGCAGCTGGTGAACGTGAAGAAGAATCTGCAAGGTGGTGCCAACATTGACCAGCATTGCCAGGTTAACCACAGCAGAGTACCCGTAAATGTGCTGCCAAGTTGGTCAACTCGATATTGACCACATCATCTATCAAGTGCTGATTAATCAGGAGAGATACATCAGCAGATGTCCTTGGTGAATCAGAGTATGAAAAGATCCTTGGTAAATTAGAGTATGAAAAGGATACTTTTTAAGTTCTTTGAAGCTAAATAAGGTAAAATGATATGCAGAGATGGATGAGGAGAATGTGCCCGAGTATATAATGTACAGAGAGTATTTGTACTTGATTGGTTAAATCAGACAGTTACTGGTGCCATCAGAATTGGAACTCTTCGTTTGCTGCTGCTGATGGAGACAGAGCACTAATGGGAGCGTCCCGAGCGCTATGATGTTGATTCTTAATTCAACATTCAAAGGTTGAGCTGTGTTGACTGAAGCTCACCAAATCTTAACCTGGGTCCCTGATTTTATCATGGTCTCAGCTGATTGACTATATACAAGAGGTGTGGTCAGATAAGTATGGGAAAGGAATACAGGATTGTTTATTACAAATACTAGACAAGGACGGGAGAGAGAGAGGGGGGTGGAGGGAAGAGACGCTCTCTCTCTCTCTCTCTCTCTCTCTCTCTCTCTAACTCACTCACACACACACTCACTCTCTCTCTCTCCCTCCCTGGCTCGCTCGCTCGCACTCACACAAGCACACACTCACTCACACACACTCACATACTCACTCACACTCACTCACACACACTCTCACTCACTCACTCACTCACTCACTCACTCACTCTCACTCACTCACTCTCTCACTCACTCACTCTCACTCACTCACTCTCACTCACTCACTCACTCTCACTCACTCACTCACTCACTCACTCACTCACTCACTCACTCACTCACTCACTCACTCACTCACTCACTCACTCACTCACTCACTCTCACTCACTCACTCTCACTCACTCACTCTCACTTACTCACTCTCTCTCACTCACTCTCACTCACTCACTCTCACTCACTCACTTTCACTCACTCACTCACTCACTCTCACACTCTCACTCTCACTCACTCACTCTCACACTCTCACTCTTACTCACTCACTCTCACTAACTCACTCTCACTCACTCATTCACTCTCACTCACTCACTCACTCACTCTCACACTCTCACTCTCACTCTCACTCACTTTCACTCATTCACTCTCACTCACTCACTATCACTCACTCTTACTCACTCTCACTCACTCTCACTCACTCACTCTCACTCACTCACTCTTACTCGCTCACTCACCCTCACTCACTCACTCACTCTCACTCACTCACTCTCACTCACTCACTCTCACTCACTCTCACTCACTCACTCACTCTCACTCACTCACTCACTCTAGCTCTCTCTCTCTCTCTCTCTCTCTCTCTCTCTCTCTCTCTCTCTCTCTCTCTCTCTCTCTCTCTCTCTCTCTCTCTGCGCTATGTATTCAATAACAGTTCCATTTGTGTTTACATATATACAAACACACATATATAAAGTTGTCATTGTTATAAATATTTCCTTCAGTGGGTAAAATGTAAATTTAGAGCCACTTGTGATTAGTTATTACCAGGTTTCAACATTTAGTAGCTTGATTAGAGTCTTACATTAGTCTTGTCAGTGACAGCAAACAAGTGAAGAGGATGTCAGTGACAGCAAACAAGTGAAGTGGATGTCAGTGACAGCAAACAAATGAAGTGGATGTCAGTGACAGCAAACAAGTGAAGTGGATGTCAGTGACAGCAAACAAGAGAAGTGGATGTCAGTGACAGCAAACAAGTGAAGTGGATGTCAGTGACAGCAAACAAGTGAAGTGGATATCAGTGACAGCAAACAAGTGAAGTAAATGTCAGTGACAGCAAACAAGAGAAGTGGATGTCAGTGACAGCAAACAAGTGAAGTGGATGTCAGTGACAGCAAACAAGTGAAGTGGATGTCAGTGACAGCAAACAAGTGAAGTGGATTTCAGTGACAGCAAACAAGTGAAGTGGATGTCAGTGACAGCAAACAAGTGAAGTGGATGTCAGTGACATCAAACAAGAGAAGTGGATATCAGTGACAGCAAACAAGTGAAGTGGATGTCAGTGACAGCAAACAAGTGAAGTGGATGTCAGTGACAGCAAACAAATGAAGTGGATGTCAGTGACAGCAAACAAGTGAAGTGGATGTCAGTGACAGCAAACAAGTGAAGTGGATGTCAGTGACAGCAAACAAATGAAGTGGATGTCAGTGACAGCAAACAAGTGAAGTGGATGTCAGTGACAGCAAACAAGTGAAGTGGACATCAGTGACAGCAAGCAAGTGAAGTGGATGTCAGTGACAGCAAACAAGTGAAGTGGATGTCAGTGACAGCAAACAAGTGAAGTGGATGTCAGTGACAGCAAACAAGAGAAGTGGATGTCAGTGACAGCACTCAGTTGACTTGAACGTCAGCACATCAGCCAAAGACCTGCTTTGTTTAGCATTTTGTTAATAATTATTTCCAGTTTTTTTAGATCCATGCAACCTCCAATTTCTTCTTAGGAGAGAAAGGTAGCAAGCCCAGTGAGCAGCCAGTCTCCCGACGTGAGGACCAGCTGGCACATCTCAACATGGAAATGGCTCCACCCAGTCCATCTCCTGGACCTTCATCAGCTGACGGACCCCCAGCACTGATGACAAATGAGGCTTCGGCTATTGTCATGTCATCAATCACACATTTACCTCCAGACACTCAGAAGTTTCTCAAGTTTGCAGGTACCTTTAACAGATATCATATTGTGATAATGAGCCTTAACCCATTTTTGAATAACTTGGCAGGTGGCACAAAGGGGCTGTATAGTTAGTACCATGTCTGATGCCTATACATTCCTAATTTGGGGAAGTATGTTTACTCGAGAACTACATTGACCATGGGGGGAAAAAATGCCTTAACCAAGAGGATATGCTAGTGTAGTTACCACTTGTCTCGGTATATATTGGGCCTTTAAAGACTTATTTTCTGCACAATGATCTTAATGTGAAGTCTGATTCTTCCGTAAATGAATATAATGACAATCTTCCTTGTGTCAATATCATGACAGTTTTTAAACTCTTCACTGTTTTTAAAGAATTGGTATGCATTAGATAACCTGTATTTTGAAATAATTGAATTAGATCAGTGAAATCTTTGAACTTATTTGTCTTTTTCTACTTAGTCTAAAAATAAGTAATGATTAATGATACTTATTTATAAAACATTAAAATTGTGATCTTGATTCTTTTTGCAGAAACACATCGCACTGTCCTCAACCAAATTTTGAGACAGTCCACACTTCCTCTCGCTGAGGGACCATTTTCCGTTCTGGTGGATTATACAAGGATTTTGGACTTTGATGTCAAACGGCGCTACTTTCGCCAGGAGTTGGAGCGCATGAATGAGGGCACTCGCCGTGAAGATTTACCGGTGCATGTGCGCAGGTCCAATGTCTTCGAGGATTCTTTCCGTGAGCTCTTTAGACGAACTCCAGAGGAGTGGAAGCAAAGATTCTACATTGTCTTTGAAGGTAATTGCTGGGACAATGACTTGATGACACAGACTTGTCTCAGAAAGTTATTTATTGATAGCAAATCAGGTTCCCCTTGTTTTAAGCAATTGGGTATTTATAGATGACTACACAAAATACAGTTAAAGCTGATAAATGTTTTCTTCCAGAACATTCCCACACTTGCATGCCTGCTAATGTACCTTACTTATGGTCACTGGCGCAGAAGGTAGATAGGTGTGGTATGCATTAGTGCTTTTTTTTTATAACTACAAGCCTAACTTTAGTTCCCTGCCCCACGGGCAGATGCAGTCCGACTGCAGGCCTATTTCTAGGATGACTGTGGCCATTGTTTTATGTGGGTCGAGATGTTGCCTGATTTGTGTGGTGTCCTCTTTGTCCCTTACTCTACAGGTGTTGCCCCCGGAGCAACCCCTTTGGGGCAGCCCTGTGGGGAACGGTTAGCTTCCAAGGGAAGGCAGGGGCAGATCATGGGCATTCCCCGCCATCCAAGGAGGCTTCCATAAATGCATAAAAGCCAACACATGGCGCTCTGGTTCTGGGCCTAAGGAACTGTCTTGTCCTGTACATAACTGCTTAACCTCACAACCATATTAGGCTTCCCGCTCGACACAGGCTTTGCTCTCCAGAGATCAGCGGGGAGCAGCCCGTGGGTTCTGGATTTTTGTCACCACACGGATAGTTACACTCTTTTTCATCGCACGTTTGACATCTTTAATGTGCCATTAGAATGGAGATCCTGCATCAGGCATGTCTTTATCCGTTTGCTCCCAACACTCGGGCTAGTGGGGTCTCTGGATGTGGACATTTTGACTTTCCCCCAATCAATATGATTTATGATGGCCAGATTAGGAGCTGGCTCGTGTGCCCTATGATCTATTTTTGTCAGACATTTGGGCTTAGCCAGCCGATGGACTGTTGCTGTTGTGGTGTACCTCGGCTCGGTGATGACAACGCTGAGGGTTGATAGAGGATGTACATAGGTAGAGTCTTGCTGCGAGACGCCACCCTCAGGAGATGTTACTCGTCTGAGCTGCTGGTAAATGTCTTGGTCAAGGGTTGAGTCTCAGCAGCTCAATGTTCTCCTCACTGCACAGACTTTTAACCGAGGGTTGTCACTTTAGTTGTACATTTGGCAAGCAGACTTTACTCATGTTCCTAACAAGTTTTTGATAAACCTTTTCACTCATGCATTTGGGGGCGGTCTGATGAGAACCACAAGGACATTGCACCTCTGCGGACCACCAACTCTGAGATCCCCTGACAGCTTTGTTAATGCTCATTTGAGACATCAGTGGCGCACAATGAGGACATGCCGCAGGAGTCTTGCGTAAGGTTCCATAAAACCAGAACAGTGCTGGACCTGCGTTGGTCTTTACCTCACGCCTGTGACAGAAATCACCGCACCACGGACAGCCATTATCAAATGTCCAGATATTTAATAGTTGTCCCTCTCACATACAGACTAAATGAAAACATATTCTTTGTGCATATTACTAATATAATGTATAGTTTTTTTGTTGTTTAAACTGAGAAATACTTGTTAAAGAAACAGGTAAATCTACAAAGCTAAAAAAAGGTGATTTCAGTCAGACTTTGATATTTTAAAATTGTTTTGTTACAGGTGAAGAAGGTCAGGATGCGGGTGGCCTGCTCAGGGAATGGTATATCATCATCTCCCATGAAATCTTTAACCAGAACTATGCCCTGTTCCTGACTTCACCTGGGGACCGTGTCACTTACTCCATCAACCCCTCCTCCCATTGCAACAGCAACCACCTAAGCTACTTCAAGTTTGTGGGACGCATCATTGCCAAGGCAGTCTATGACAACAAGCTGCTGGACTGTTACTTCACACGCTCCTTCTACAAGCACATGTTGGGCCAGCCCGTCAAGTACACAGACATGGAGAGTGAGGACTATGCTTTCTATCAAGGCCTTGTCTTTCTGCTAGAGAACAATGTTTCAGATCTGGGGTATGATCTCTACTTCAGCACTGAGGTATGCCAGCTGTGTCTTGATTATACTCTCACACATGCTTGTCCATTTTCTGTGAAATCAGATCTGTCATTTATAAGTGAAATTATTGTCTATATGTTCTTCTCATTTCTCACTGGATTGCTTTACTTATGTGGCTGTTGTGATCTAGACTTGATATTATTACTCACCTTTCATGGCTGTCTTTATTGGTCTTAGACTTGTATGCAAATCTTACCCATTATCAGCACATTTCACTGTAAGTCAAGTAATGCAGGCAGGCACTTCGGGCATATGTTTATAGTCCTAAATTTGTATAGACCAGTTAGCCACCACATAGCTGATTTGGTCAACGCCATGCTGATTGCCTTTACCTCTTTAAAGGTTCCCTGGAACATATTTTTAGGTTGGGTTGACTAGGGATCACATGTTTCTTAAAATCCCACCTTGATGACATACATTAGTGGTGCTGTGTGTATGTAGTTGTTGACTTCATTAGTTAAGGTGCACATTTGTGAGTAGTCTGCAGATGTTAAATACTGTTCAGTGTGCTCCTAAACAAGCTTAGGTGATAAACAGGCTTTGCAGAAAGGTTAACTTTCTGCGAGAGGATCCGTATCAGAGTGGCGTGACATTTAGTGATGTATAAGTACATCACTTGTTTATCTTTATATGTAATTTGATACATGTGATCTGCAGAAAAGGGAACTGTGAAGGTGCTCTGAATGTGGCAGGCATTGTGAACTTTACAACCATATTTATATCAGATGGGTTATGACTATTTTTTTGTTATTGCTTTGTTTCAGTCAACATTCCCTACATTTGTCTACTCCACAGATCCAAGAGTTTGGTGTCACTGAAACCAGAGAACTAGTTCCATGTGGTGCTAATGTCTTGGTGACAGATGACAACAAGCGAGAATATGTCAAACTAGTGTGTCAGATGAAAATGAGGGGTGCCATACGTCAGCAACTAAATGCCTTCCTGGAAGGTTTCTATGACATCATTCCAAAGAAGCTGGTGTCCATTTTCACAGAACAGGAGTTGGAACTTCTGATATCAGGCCTGCCCACTATTGACATTGATGATCTGAAAGCCAACACTGAGTACCACAAGTACCAGGCCACTAGCCTGCAGGTGTGTACCTGATATACTGTCATGTTGGATCATGTGCCGTTGGGAATCTTGTCTGTCTTGTGGACTGTCGGTCATTTCAGATGTCCTTCCATGCCCTGATGCTAAACAAGAGTACTAGCCTTCTGATGTTGTGGTCATGAAGTTACGGCAGACAAGTGATGAAGTTAATGAGCAGATAAGTTTTCAGAATTGTAACTGTGTTAGGCAGAAGATGCCACTTTAGGCACAGCTGGCCCTGTATGGGCACTCTCTCAGAGAAAGACATTGCAGCCTTATATGCATATATGGGCAAAGAATATGAGTGCCTGTACACAAAAATGTGTTAGCATGAATGGACAAATAAAATTGCAATAAGGATGTCTAGGGAAAAAAACAATCAAATTGCAAATGAAATAGTCACTGTCATCATCAGTGTCCACTTTTGCTGTTAAAAGTGATGGGGAGTAACAGTTTCTGATCTATTTGCTATTTTTAATGTTATGCACCCATCTTCTCCTTGGGCATGTCAGGCTTTCAAAAAGGAACAATCAGTTTTCAGGAATCCAAAGCTCTCTCGCTCAGTGGGAGTAGCTGCTCAGTGGAGAGAAAAAAAGGGGGAGTGGGGATGAGAACTTAGTCACTGACAGCTTTCTGGCTGTTTGCTGTAGTTCTTACAGAGTAAACTGAAATTGTTGGAATCAAATAAGAGATGTTGTTGAAGCCAGAGATTCCAATGTTTACATCAGACTATGTGCCAGCTAAAACACTAAAATATTAACACAGTTGAATTATGTCATAATGTCTCTAGTATTAATGTGACAATATGAAACTGATTACAGATTCAGTGGTTCTGGCGAGCCCTGCGCTCCTTTGATCAAGCTGAAAGAGCCAACTTCCTGCAGTTTGTCACAGGCACATCCAAGGTACCGCTGGGTGGATTTGCTAACCTGGAGGGAATGAATGGAACTCAGAAGTTCCAGATTCATAGAGATGACCGCTCAACTGACCGCCTGCCATCAGCTCACACTTGGTAAGCATTTGTACTCAGTTTCGTATATTGTTTCTTACTTTGTTTGTTTTATTTATATTAGAACAATATCAAACTTTCTTGCACTAAATTCAGATAATGTACGTTCATGTCTTTGACTGAACTATCCTTCTAACAATTGTCATGTTGTAGAGGTTTATGTCATATAATTTATCTGTGTGTTGTAAATGTGTACACTGCTTTTCCAGCTGTTGAGCCTAGAGCAGACATTAAGGATCATGACTTTTCAGTCCAGCTTGCCCCCTGTATTTTATTGCTGCTTGTTTTGCTCATATTATTTACTTGCACTCTTTTCACAAAGACCTTTGTCTTCTTTTGATTATCATCCCCAGAATTTTTGGTGTACAACTAAGAACTATATTCCATCTCTTCTGTTGACGTGCTTCATATATTTAATTTGTCTTTTTCTAAGATTTTGACGAGTGATTGAGTAACAACTAAATCTGTGGATAATTTAAGATGTTTCTGTACATGGCATTTGCCACACCCTTCTCAAAAACATCACACTGTTTCCAGTTTATGTAATACTTCTATGGCTGGCTGAATTTATACATCATTAATTAGATTAAAACTGGCTTCCATTGATCAGTTAAATATTCATGTCAGTTTATGCTGTTCAGACTACTACAAGGGCGAACCTGCACACGGAAAAACAGTGGCATCAATAACTGACTAGTATAGGTAGCATAGATTGTTACTTCTCTAACTTAAATTAGTAGAACAGTTGGCAATCATTTCAATTTTTGTAGATTTAAATTATGAAATGCACATGCCTGTACTTTCTGTAGTGTAACTGTTCCTCTCTCACACTTTCCTCCCTCTCCTTCCTCTGTACATTTTCTTCTCTCTCTCTCTCTCCGCCTCCCTCCCTCACTATCTCTGCTATTCACTTCCTGTTTTGCATATAGAGAATCCCTCACAAACAATATGTAACTTCTAAGAGTATTTAAGTAGAAATACCTGCAGATTTTCTTAACTCAGTGACTGTTTTTTCCCCCCAGCTTCAATCAGTTGGACCTGCCTGCCTATGAGACCTTTGATAAACTGAGGAAGATGTTATTACTGGCTGTCAGTGAATGCTCTGAGGGTTTTGGATTAGCTTAAGCAAATGTACATCGGCACATGACCTTATTATTGACCTTGTGTTGGAGCAGAACTTCCATTATTTGCGTGGCCCATGAATGAGAACAGTTTCTTTAATGTAGCTTGTGCAGTACTGGGGTGACTTAAATGTATTCTTTGCCCATGATGCCTGGATGATTGAAGCTCACATATGCTCAAGCCTGGGTATTTCATTCAGCACTTAGGAGATGTTTCTTTATTAGCTTGTTTCACAGTTTTTGAAAGTTGCAATCATAAATATAAATATAGAAAGTTTATGTGCCCTGGCTATGGTTATATAGTGATACATTGCAAGTTTGATATTTGCTCTCACATATTTATCTGCTTCGAATCATTGTCTCACTCATTCTCTCTCTTCCAGAGTCACACACACGTCCGCATACAGGCACACACACAAACACACTTGCAGCTGTGTTAACAGATAAATAACAGTAACTGTTTAGATAAGATTGTTAACTCATTTCTAATACTATGCAGTTTTTTCCCCCTTAAAAATCTCATATTCAATAGGTGTCTTGTTTCATGTGTTTCTATTTGTTATCTTTGATTACTTGCTCGATAGAATATAGTCATTTCATTCTTATTTCCTTGGTGTGCATGCGTCGTAGTGTACTCATTTGTGTTCAGTTGATCTCATTGCCACAGTCTGGGGGGTATGTTTAAGTAGTTACGTAATAATGTGCAGATGGTATTTTTTAGTTTCTTCCCCTGTATGTTTGCTTACTTGGTGGTCTTCAGACGAGATACTTTTACTGTCTGTTCCAAAAGTCCTTTTTTTTCAATCTTTCATTTGTTTATGTGCCATTCTCTATAGGCATCAGTGAAATAGTTTGATCTATCCTTTAGGTTCTCAATGATTTGCTGCTCTCATTGTCTACTTATCGATTGCATTTGCTTTAAATTTTATTACTTGCATGTATAGCAGACAACTGTCTCTGTCTGCCATGTACATCTATTCCTTTGAGTTCCTGCTGGCAACTTAGTACTGTGTGGTGGTAAATCTTGATTTTTGTCCTCTTGTATGTATGGGAATTATTATTGGCTCATGTTTTCTCGTAATCTCTTCTCTCTCTCTCATCTCCTTCTCTTCCTTGCCTCTCCTAATTTCCTCTAGCCCTTCCTTTTGATCACCTAACATATCAGAATATATTTGTTGACAGTTAAGATCTGGGATTACTGTCTAATTATGCACATTTAATTTTGTGTCTTGTCATGTTGAAAGTGAAGAGTTATTGGTAATGAACATACAAGCACACCGACTAGTTTTGCAGCTGAATCTGAGGCGGACACTGAGGTCAGTTTAATGCTCATCTGTTAACATACCATGTCAGTAACCATGAGACTGTGGGGCTCACAATACCACCATGTCTTGTTATCTTCAGGTGCAGACTTTTGAATATGTAAAAATAAAAATGAATATAATGTGTGAAGGCATAGCTCATCCAGAGTTTGTAAGAAATGCCTGCCTGTCAACTGAGAGATGTCACACAGTTACATCAGACAGTCATTGATAAGGGACATATCAACGCATGCACTTCTAAAGTTTTGTATTGTAAATGGTTTCACACAGGTATCGCTATATGTTGAATACACCAGCAGCTAACATACACACAGGGGTACTATATGTGAGAGAGTTGATCAGTCCCTGCTGGATCAGTAACCAGCAACAACCAACACTGTTAAGTAGATTACTCTGATGGTATCAAGTGAATTACATTTGTCTGCATCTTACAACCGTTATTTTTTTCTTTTCTGTTTTGCCCCATTTATGACATTTGTCTTTTGTCAAAGTTGTATCTTTCTTTTGTAATGTTCAATAGTAGTTGACTTGTAGGTGTAAAACAAAAAGAGGATCTTACAGTAAAGTGTTGTGCTCACTGCAGTTGTTTGTTGTCTCATGCTATATAGTGGCTGTCTGGTTTGTCACTGATATGTAAGCCTGCTGGAAACAAATCATTTATTTAAACAAAAAATGTTTCTTGGCTGATACACATTAGACCATGTGCATTGTTCCACTGACTTGATATTTTGTTGTTGATCTTTGTCTTACTTACACGTGTGACCAGCATGACAGCATAATGAGATTTGAGTGTCAATATGGATGGAGACAATAACACACACAAAAGCAGAAGTTCCTACATGATTTTCATACTGAGAACAGTGGAGGGCATGATTTTTTTGACATTATTGCGTTTCACCATTCTCATTTCTTAGTTCAGATGATAGTTTGTTTTTTCATTTAGTGAATGTGTTTCACAATTCCCCTTTCACTAATGATAGTTTTGTTTCATTCATTGAATGCTTTTTCTCTCATTCTTAGATGAAATGTCGAAGGCTAGTTTTTTCCCCCAATACTCTGGATTCTTCTCATTATTAAAATTTCACTAACAATAGTTTGTGATTTCATTCATTGAATGCTTTTTTCCCCTCATAATTATCTCTTATTAGTTCCAAATGTCTGTTGTTTATTTTATTTTGTTTGTACTCTGGTAATGCTTTTCATAATTCTCATTTCACTAGTGATAGCTTTTCCTTCAGTGAACGCTTTTCATTATTCTCATTTCTTAGTTTCACACAAACACTCGTTTGATAATTTCATTAACAAATATATGATTATGAGGTATGTATTATTTCTTGTTGTGATTTGTTTCAATTTGCTACATTGTATGTGTGATGTATAGTGGGGACAGATGTGTGTACATTACTACAGTTGTCTTCTCATGTAGTTATATGTATGAAGGCTGCCCAGCCAGCACTGACCACAACAGGAAGTTGTCTCCAAAATGTTGCCCATTGAACTGTCATCTAATTTTGGCTGCATCACTTTTCTGACAATGGTTGTAAGATGCTCATTGGTGAATAAATAAACACAAGTAAATCTATTGTCTGCGTGTTTGTTGTTGTTGTTTGGAATGGGTGGTTTCCTGCAGGTGTGGAAGTTGTTTGGAATGGATGGTTTCCTGCAAGTGTGTAAGTTGTTTGGAATGGATGGTTTCCTGCAGGTGTGGAAATTGTTTGGAATGGATGGTTTCCTGCAAGTGTGGAAATTGTTTGGAATGGATGGTTTCCTACAGGTGTGGAAGTTGTTTGGAATGGATGGTTTCCTGCAGGTGTGGAAGTTGTTTGGAATGGATGGTTTCCTGCAGGTGTGGAAGTTGTTTGGAATGGATGGTTTCCTGCAGGTGTGGAAATTGTTTGGAATTGTTGGTCTCCTGCAGGTGTGGAAGTTATTTGGAATTGTTGGTCTCCTGCAGGTGTGGAAGTTGTTTGGAATGGATGGTTTCCTGCAGGTGTGGAAGTTGTTTGGAATTGTTGGTCTCCTGCAGGTGTGGAAGTTGTTTGGAATTGTTGGTCTCCTGCAGGTGTGGAAGTTGTTTGGAATGGATGGTTTCCTGCAGGTGTGGAAGTTGTTTGGAATTGTTGGTCTCCTGCAGGTGTGGAAGTTGTTTGGAATTGTTGGTCTCCTGCAGGTGTGGAAGTTGTTTGGAATTGTTGGTCTCCTGCAGGTGTGGAAGTTATTTGGAATTGTTGGTCTCCTGCAGGTGTGGAAGTTGTTTGGAATTGTTTGTCTCCTGCAGGTGTGGAAGTTGTTTGGAATTGTTGGTCTCCTGCAGGTGTGGAAGTTATTTGGAATTGTTTGTACACTCGGTGTATTACTTGCACTAGTAAAGGAAACATTTTTCTCACACTTTCGGGCATTTTTTGCATATAGTGCTAAACCTATATTTATAGAGTAATTGGGACTCGGTGATGTCAACATCATACCAGCCGCCTTTACTTCTCAGGGTACCGGTATTAAAGCTGAGTCGATCTGGAAGCTAAGGTCATTCAAAAAAATGCAGGCTCCATTTGGATTTAAACACACGTTCTTTAGATCCGCATGCGAGAATATAGCCACAGCACCACGACGGCTCCCAATTGCAGTAGCTGCTTTCTTAAATATTACCACAACTATTTGGCTCTGATATATTTGTATGTGTCGACTCTGTGGCTAAGTCGATGCGAACTCTTCGCTTCGTAATACCGGGATGCCAGGTTCGATCCCAGCTGCGGGCAATGCGCATTGCGTTGGTTTCGACAGTGGTATCAAGAAAGCCGACCGTCCAGAAAGCAGTGGCAAACTACTGGACGTAAATTGCCTAGAGAAACCACACTACAGCCAGGGTCTGTTAGGGTTGGTTCTGCAACGTCCTGTAAAGGATACACAACTAACCTGAGATATTTGTATGTATGTGTTGGTTTCAATGAACACACAGTCAAAATGGATTCCGGTTGAGGGCATTTTATGTTAATTCCTGATGAAATGCAAATGCATACTTATTTGTGACACCTGGGAAAATGCAGTTCTGACTTTTGTGTGCAGAAGAGAAATCCAGTTTTGTTTCAACATGTAGGGATGTATTCCATTGATAAATCCAGTTTTGTTTCAACATGTAGGGATGTATTCCATTGATAAATCCAGTTTTGTTTCAACATGTAGGGATGTATTCCATTGATAAATCCAGTTTTGTCTCAACATGTAGGGATGTATTCCATTGATAAATCCAGTTTTGTTTTAACATGTAGGGATGTATTCCATTGATAAATCCAGTTTTGTTTCAACATGTAGGGATGTATTCCATTGATAAATCCAGTTTTGTCTCAACATGTAGGGATGTATTCCATTGATAAATCCAGTTTTGTTTCAACATGTAGGGATGTATTCCATTGATAAATCCAGTTTTGTTTCAACATGTAGGGATGTATTCCATTGATAAATCCAGTTTTGTTCAACATGTAGGGATGTATTCCATTGATAAATCCAGTTTTGTCTCAACATGTAGGGGTGTATCCCACTGAGAAATCCAGTTTTGTTTCAACATGTAGGGATGTATTCCATTGAGAAATCCAGTTTTGTTTCAACATGTAGGGATGTATTCCATTGAGAAATCCAGTTTTGTTTCAACACGTAAGGATGTTTCCAAAGAGAAATCAAATTTTAA